CCTTCATCTTCGAAGGGCGAGATCAGTTGGGTCGACCATAGGCCTGTCCGTCTCATCCAGACTGTAAAAGGCTCCCCTTGCAACTGACCATATTGCAGAAAACTCCACCCCATGATCTTTTTCTCCCATATCCCGTTTTCACGGGACCGGAAGTGCTCATAGACGACATCAATTCCAAAATCCTGCCAGGTCTGTGTCAACTCCCTCCGGGTGAGGCGGAGCGTTTTCAGGTAAGGCAGACCACCTGCACATGCTACTGCAAATGGCACAAACGATGCCGGCGCAACTATTCGCTGCATAAAGCACATAGCGTCATCTCGGTCAGCCAAAAGCACCACATGGTTCGGATCTTGGCCAGGACCAGTAGGAGTTGCAGTGTTTCCTCCTTGGGACGAAAATGTCCGGCCTTGTACGTTCATGGATTGGGACCTGACAGTCTGAGTAGAACTTGATGCGTCACTGGAAGCTGACGATGCAGTATAAAGGTCCTCTGAAGTTCCAACGCTTGTAGCTTCTGGGTCAAATACCGGCATCACGATTTGTCTCTGCAATGGCATCCTTTCCACGAAAGTTAAAGCAATCCCTGAAAAAAGCGGCACAGACTGTTCCCATTGATACACCCTCGGTCCAACGACAATAATGCATTCGGACATCCAGACACATTGCACGTGTGGAAGTCGCTCTGCAAATAGTTCATGGACAAAAGGAAAACGGGTCGTCCTGTATAGGAAAGTCCCTCTCCAATTCTCTACAAGTGTATCGACCGTAGCTAGGATCCCCACCCAGCCTTCGGGGCAAACCGGTAGAAGAAGGAAAGTGATTTCGTTCTCGACAGGTCGAACCGGCACGAGCTGGGCTTGCGGTCGGATTTGGAAGTCACGCCAGGAACCGACAATTTGTGGCTTAACGGGTCTGCTCAACACAATCTCATGTCGTCGGAAAATAAAGGACCATAGGTCCCTTCTATCCCAGGTATGGAGCCATACAACAACTGTCGCTCTCGAAGCCCCAATACTCTCGAGTACAAAAGCTAGAGCAGGGTCTGATGTACCAGCGTTTGCTGGACTCTGCATTAAGCTGTTGACATCTTCGATGACCCGTTCACGATCATGCATAGCCTCTGTACGAACATGAACGACCAAAAGCTCGCCTGCCATTCTGTTCAAACCACTCTTTTGGATTGGCATGAGTTCTTCTCCTGGTCTGAACACATCAGTCGTTAGCAGCGAGCGTCGAAGGCCAAGTTTTGATAGAACGCACGAATGGTAGGTCATCGACACGTCGTCCATCGAAACACCAGCTTGCTTCACAATCAAGGATGGGACTTCCCAAGTCTGCAACGGCCGGTAAACTAGAAAATGCATCTGATCACCATCGTAGTCAAAATTGGTAGGCTGTGGTCGGACAATCGTATAGTCACACGAAGTCGACCCACATTTATCTCTCCACAGCTCAGTAAACGTGGCTTGCAGGTCAATGAAATCATTTCGAGCAAGCATCAGCTGTCTCGGCTGTCTTGGGCAGGACGCTTTCTCAGCAAACCAAACCTGGACATTCGAACATCCTGACAGAGGTTGCAGAGACCATGTACATGCCAAACAAGACTCCTCTTGTATTTGCACTGACAACTGAACCAGGCTAAGCCACTGGCTATGGGGTGCGTTTTCACTACTTAGGTTCGCTCCACTATCAGGCAGCAAAGTATTTGTAACATCGTCAGCCTCAAAACGTGGACAAAAACCGTGCACAGCTCTAGGCCTAGTGTGGTATCCGGGCCGAGCACAAGAGGAACAACTTGACCTTCTATCGTGTACTTCTGACACAGAAAAAGGGAGAAATGTCATCTCGCTTTCTCGAACCAAAATTGGATCAAAGTTGTAACCTTCTTGGGGGTCCTCAAAAGGCTGGGCTTGCAAACCAGTCGAAGGGCGGTCCCTTGAGGAATTGAAAGACTGCCCGTTTCTGAGCTCCTGGCCAAAAAGCAAATCATGTTCATTCGGCAGTTTGTTAATGCTATCTGCTAATGAGATGCCTTCGGCTCCTAGGAGATTAAGTAGCATCACACAGGCAAGAATCCGCTTCTTGCAACTCGCAAGTCTGGGGCGTTTAGAGGCAATTCGCCTGCCAGCAGCAATGCTACATTGCTTCGGAAACTTTGGGTGCAGCTCTTCTCTGCAACGCATATAGCGGCAAAATTCAAGGCTGAGATAGCTTCCCAAGCAACCCCGAAAGATCCAAAGAAGGATATGCACACCTCCTGAGGATGTCTCATATTCAGGGTCGGGCTCTGCACATTCAAGGAGAAGACCAAAGCAAATGCAGCAACTCCTTAGGAGGAGCACACCGTTAATGAGTCTCTCTTCCGCAGGCCACCTGTATAGTCGCTTAATTAATCCACCATTACGGGCATGGTCGAATAGCTCAGACAATTCACCAAGACCGAGAAAAGTCAGGAGCGCGAAAATTGGCACACACGACAGCACAAACAATCTGGCACACCGAGGGAAAAGGTCAAAAGTTCCTCCAAAGAACTTCCAACAAGTGTCAACAGATTGCTCGACAGTCTCTGGCGCTATTCCATGTTCGAAAGGGAAAACCTCTGTGTCGATTACATGGGGCTTTTCACATAGATTGGCAACCCCATCGCCAATCATCTTGGTGCCCTGTCCATATTGGCTGGGAACAAGGCCACAGATCGAAAAACCTGCAGAGAACAAGCAAGATTCAAATGGCTCGATTCTTGTCTCTACATCTAAAGCAAACCTTTCCTTATCCATCATGGACAAGCCATAGTCTGCCATACTACTCGCATAGGATTGACTGTCTTGTGAGCTGCTTTGAAATCTAGCGCTACACCATGACAGCATTTCGTAGCTCAGGAGAGCTGCAGGATGTCTTTGTACTTGGTGCCATCTGGGGTGGCAACCTTCGGGTCCCCGCCCTGGGGCGTATATGGCCCTGGCTGTCCTTTCTGGCCAACACTCTTGCCAAAAGGCTGGAGAGCAGGAGAAATCATCAAGGGGACAACCCCCGCCGAGCTTGCCGACTTCGTATCATCTTCTGGCTCCAACTTGACCTTCGTGCCAAGGCCTTTTGCCTGAAAATCTTCGATCACACCATTGATGAGCTCCATCACAGCTGCTTTTGTGACCTAGTCCCTGGGATAGTCGGACATCGTCTGCAGCACAATTTGCTGGCATTGATCCGGGTACTTGTTTAGTTCTGCTTTCAGCTCTTGGCTTGTATAGTCGCACTCTTTGGAAATACGGATTCTTTTCAATCCGCTTCCATGGTCTGGAGATCTGGAACGATCTGCTCGTTCCTTGCCATCTTCCCGGGTTGACAAAATCTCTGTCCCAATGGTCTTCTTGCGAACCAAAGGCTGTTGTGGGGAGCTCACTCTGGGGCCTGTGGTCAAAGTGGCACCTTGCAAAGCACCCATAATGGCTGACATCTGTGCCTGCATCTGCTCCATCATGGCTGCATTCTTGGCCTCCAAGTGTGCCGTGTATGAAGTCAGGCCTCGAAATTCTTGCCTCATCGCACGAAGTTCTCCTTGGACAGCTTGGTCGATCTTGTTCTCGTCGTCGGAATCTGCCACCATCAACGGGTCTTCCTTCCCTGCCTCGATCGACCTGAGCTCTTCTCTCAACTCCGCAACTTCGGTTGCCACTCTCTTCTCTTCCTTGCGAATGCCCTCCTGAATGGAATATTTCCATTCTGAGAAGCTCTTCTCTTTGCGGTCCATAGTCTCTCGGACTTTGGTTACTTTGTTCAAGGCTTTGCGTTCTTGGTTCAAAGCCTTTTGCTTTTGCTTGATGATCTCCCTCGGATCGGTCTTCAGGACCTCTTGCACTGCTTCTGGGAGGTGCTGCTGGTCTTCTTCTTTGGGCACAATTTTCTCGACCAAGAACTTCATTGTCTCTCGCAGCTTCTGGTTTTCTTCCTTCAAAGCTGAATCCGACTGCGATGACGATGAAGATCGCGGCAATGCCGATCCAGATTCTTCGAGCTCGACCGCCTTGCCATCGTACAGCACTGCTTTCTTCTGCTTGTCGTTGCCTCTCTTTTCTGGCTTCTTCGTCTCGTAGTAGTAGGCCGGCTCTGGAGCCCACTCTTGCCATACGTTCCAGTTCTGCTTGGCTTTCCATGACATCCCTATAGGAGCAAAAGCCTGGATCCAGTATTTGGGCCTTGTGTGGTGAGCATGAGAAGCTTGAGCTTCTCCTTTAGCTTTTCCAGTACAGAAGCCGAAAGGACAGGTTTATATTGGTGCCTCTTGATGAAGCACCTAGCCAAGCGTCTCTTTTTTCTGGCTCTCCTGTGCCACGTAGGTGAAGTCCCAATGGCTCACGGGGTCGCCGTCACGTGTAACACACGTGGGGATCAGGAAATTCCTAACTAAGTAGGCTGGTCCTGAGCCCTGTTTAACACTTCAACCTTATGCATAGTCTGCAACATCCACCTAACACATGTGTTTACAGTTGAATTCTGGTGGAGGTGGGGCGGTCTGATTTCTTCAAAATTTACAGTGTTGGAATGGAAGACAACACTTTGAAGGATGTGTTGTTTGTTGCTGCATGTTGTTGCCCTCCCATGAATTCAGTCGAGTCTTTTCACTCGACTGAAGAAGCCCATAGTAGCGTCCCTGCTCCTAGTGGTCTTTTGCTAGTAGTGACATGGTTTCCCTGTTTGGCGCCCAGATTGTCGGAAGTTGGGAGGCTGCACTATGAGGCTTCATAAATTTGCTGAACGGATAAACATAAAATTTTAAAGTCCTTCAGTCCCATGCAGGCTCTTGTTGAACCATTTGACTTTCCAAAGTCGAAGAAAGGTGAGTCAACACTTACGTTTGCCTTTTTATCCTTTTTTGGGGCGATTACCCCCTAGTACTCTTTTATAAAGCCTTTTTGGACGTTCACTGCAGAACCGGGGGTTTGACCCACAGCCATACTCTGACGCGCTGCAAATTCTCACCCCGCAGCCCCCTTTATGCTGAGGCGTACGTCCTGACTCTCAACGAATCCGTCACCGAGATCAACCTCCGATGCAAGGAGTTTGGCGCCGAGGGAATGAAGGTTGGCGCCCAAAAATCCGATGGTTTGTTCGCCTGGGGGGCAAGCGGCACAGCTGACTCACTGCAGGTCTTGACAGCCGCTTTGAAGGAAAACAAACAGGTGACGAAGATCAACCTCGAAAGATGTATCGGTGATGTTGGAGCACAGGCGCGGGTTCGCCTGAATTTTACTGTCTCCTTGTTTGTTGAAGCACCTGCTTTCAGCAGGCTTTAGCCGAGATGTTGCACCAGAACCGTACGATCAAGAAGATTGTTCTCAGTTCGAATCGCATCACTACTGTGGGGGCGAAGGCGCCCTTTGAGCCGAGCTTTGCCGCTTTCGGTTTCGGATTCTTTGAAGTTGCAGGCGTTGCTGGAGGCACTCCGAGTCAACAAGGTTGTCACGTACATCTCTCTCAATGACAACGGTGAAATCAGCGAGGAGGCTCCGGTGACATGGTTGGTCTTTTGATTTTTGTTCAAAGGTTTTTTGTATTAGCTCGTCACCCATCAGGTGAAGAAGGAAATTGAGGAGGTTCTTGAGGCCAACTCGATAGTTGAAGCGACAGTGGCAGGTCAATGTGTATATTAGTCAAAGAAGTCAAAGCATGTCAAATTTGAGTAGTAGCTTGAAAACAGACTTTCCAAATGGAGAGGGATGTGTTGGTAGCGTTTGGTCGATGCTAATGGAATTCTTTGGCTGTAAATCTATCATTATATTTTACATGGTCTTAAGCGAACCCGTCTGAATATATGTTATCGAAATAGTTGCGAAGAGTCCAGCAATAAGCACTTGCAACAATGCCGGTGGGCCTGCGATTGATTCATCGAGATATATCGGCCAAACCATTTACCAAAATTGTTGGATTCACCCTCACGGATTGAGGCACAGGTAGAGGAAGAAGGAGAAGTCTTTGATTTCAGCATGCAGAAGTCCGGAGGTGGCCTGGGTTTTGATGCCTGGCCCAGAATAAACCACACTGGGCAATGATTATGCGGAGTCCGCGGGTTGCATTGCACTTCTATTGGTGTCTATTGGGCCCTGAGTGATTGTGACTGAACTGTGGACGGACTTTCCACAAATCGCTGGTAAGCAGTGAAGTCTTTTCAGATACCAGTCGCTGATATATTGTATCTAGCAGCCAGACTTTACGACTCAGCACATTTTAGCATTTCACCATCTCAAACATGACGTGTTTGTCTGCACCACAGAAGTCTGAGTGTTGACAATCCGAGGATGCCGTCTTAAGGCACTGCTGGCGAATGTTTCAGCTGTCAGTAGCGGGGCGTGATTTGTCCGGCTTGATTGAAGTGATTCGGTTGCTATTCAGCTTGTCTCAGGCACATCTCACCAGACAATGTGCTAGCGGAACCACCTTCGCACACGCTCGCAAGCGTATCGGAATTTCTGTGTAATGCATGTCGGTGTATAGATTGGGACCACCCGGCAATCTATGAAAAAGATTCTGAAGATCAACCAGCTGGAGTCTAGAGGTGAACCCGTCACAAGGAGGAGGGAATTTGTTGTGGGTCTTCAAACGGGCCAGTTGCAGGCGTGCATACATCGTGGTGACCGAAATCTTTGACGATGGTGACGTAGCGGGTTGCCTCAGGAGTCAGTGATTGGTTGTCAAAGGCAGCTGGTATCTTTGCAAGGCAAGCTGCTTCATTGCAAACAAAACAAAGTCCAACTCTGTTTACTACAGGTCTACTGAGCACTTTTTTTTGGCCCGCGGGGGGGTGGTAGGCCGTAGAGGTAGTAGCCTAGTAGCTAGGTAGCTAGTAGCTTACTTAAGCTACGACGCAGGATAGCTCGCGCTTCTAATGATTTGGTTCCCAGATTTTTGGGGAAACTTAAGGTTTTAACTTCTTTTGAGTTGTTTTGTGTAATGGTCGCAAATAGTCTCACCGCTACAGTGTAGTGAAGGCAGCTGGAATGTTGCAAGGTGGAAACCAACAATGCCATCGCAGAGCCGACGAATCGTTTGAAGGAGCGGGGGCAACCTTCTGAGAAGTCACGGTTACATTGAGAAGACTTTGGTCATCAGATGTCACAAGTGTTTACCTTGCTGCTTGATGAACACAATGCAGACCATCCATTCAAGAGCTTTCATATGTGTAAAGACTGCAGGTCAAAAACGACGTAGATTGATGTAGGTCGAATCATATATGGAGACATTTGGAGGGAGAAGTCCAGATTGGCAGCGCCAACTGAGGACTTGAAAAGATAGAACGTTTGTTTCGTAAATAAGTCCACGTTCCAACTTTGCATCGTTTTCCCATCCCGGCTTCTTTTTGGCCGCCCAATGCCTGAAACTTTCAATTTCGGGTCATCTTATGTTACTTTTTGGGGTTACTTCAGTCTTCCCCCAACGGCTTGGCCTTTCTTACTTACAGCTTCTCAGACCCCACCGCTCGCAGGCAGGTGACTTTATCGTAGACGTCAACGGTATAAAGGGTGACAGCGACGCGATGGCCGGGCAGAGGGCTGGTGAGAACTGTTGATGTCAATGGGGTTTGGCTCACTGCAATGGAGGTTGATTATCCAAAGATGTGTTGTTCCCCAAACAGTTTACTGTTGGGGGTTCTCAATTCTTTCTTAAGATGTTTCCGCCCTTTCTGTCACTGCTGGTGTCCGCCCTTTTTCCGCTGGCCACGTAGCATTTCTATTCATTTGTCTCTCCGTCTTGTCTCCCTTCTTGTTGGTCATTGTGTCCGCCCTGTCTTCTTCATTGTGTCCGTTGTCTCCCTTCTCAGGGCTGCTCCGACAATACTAAAGTCCTCAAAGGTCACGCAGGTGGCTTTTTGGAAATCAACTTAGTGAAGCTAAAAGTTCATGCGAAGCTAAAATCAGATTTCAACCTGGGTGGGTCTTCACATAGGTTTTCGCTGGTGGGTCTTGTATTTCAGCTAGTGTAATGCGAGCTCTTAGGAAATAGATCCTCGCGCTGTTTGGCTTTAGATATCAGCAGCCAGAAGCCGCAGCCATTCACTGCGACTACGCGTCTAGCTGCGCGCCATTCATTTCTGATCCATGGCAGCGGAAGCCAACCCATACCCGGTGGTGTATTTGGCAACAGGCGCTAGTGGCAGTATGAAACCCAACCACCAGCCAACCTAGGGGCGCTTCCTCATTCCAGCGCGCTGAAGCAATTCCCCGCCAACGAAAGAAAATTGGAAGAGCGATTGCGGGTTGAAGAGTCAAGGGATTGGCGGACGATTTGAATACTGTGCTCGGTAGTTACATGATTGCAGGCAATTGGCTAGAAACAGGTCAGCAATTGAATAGCACTCATTCAGTTTTCATTCACTGACTTTCATGGACCTCCACACTCACCTATTTTCACCACCAGTGCATTCCACCCAGCTCCACATTCACCTCCAGCGCGCATCCCACTCACCTTCACATGGACCAGTTCGTTCCATGATCCATTTCTGCTGGGCTCTGTGGGCCACTTAAAAGGCAATTTGCTTTGCCCAATCGCCTCGCAAAAGAGCCCTCAGGTGCGCCTGGCCCAGACGCGCGCCGCAGCAGGCCAGGCTCGCGGCCTGGCTTCTCCTTGCTTACTGTAGTCTTTGATCGCTTTCAGAAAAGAGCTGCTTGGCTCGCGCCCACACGCGTGTTCAGGCGCACGCCCAGCACCGGCCAGGCTTTCTTTTGCTTGCTCACTCCCAGAAAGGGCCCACCTCCTTGGCTGAGAAGCTCCAACTTCGGGCTGCAGGCCTCTGTGGCCAAGTTGCGTCCCAGTGGCGCGGGCGCCTCTTGTTGACAGACACGCCTTCTCCTGGAGTCGCGCAAGGCGGTTCTTCGCTGAGGGCCAACGATGCTGCATGGCCGTTGAATCGATTCGGGCTTCACAGTGCTCTGGAATCAACTCCATTTGAGATTGCCTATGAACGTCGATATTGCGGCAAGTTGGTTTGCTTTGGCGAGTTTGTGCTAGTGCTACATCGCCAAGCAGTTGCATTACGAGGGGCGTTGGATCTAGGGACAAAGAATCCCACGATTAGGATGCCATGGGAACAATCACCCAATCACCATTCACCAGCCTTGTGATGGGGGCATCTGTTCTCTCTTGGTTGGACGCGCCTGAAATTCCACGTGTGTTACCGCCGCTGCAATCAAATTTAGATGAGACTTCTGCTTGCGACGACTTGCCAGCCAAGAGACAGAGAATACGTTACCATATGCATGTAGCGGCTCACCGTCATGATGATGCTGAGAGGACTCGAGTTCTCTTGCAATGGGCTGAACTTGTGATCCGGTGCCCCCAGCGCTCAAGGGTTGGAAATCAGCTGCTGGGTTTCAGATAGTGTCGGATGCCTTGCGCGGTAAGTCAACGAGCACTTTGAAGATTAGAGTGTCATCCTTGATGTTGTATGTCAAATGGTTGCTCAGCTTACCCAGGGGTGGAATTTCTGCCTTTTTCGGAGGAGCGCTGCTATGAATACTTATGTCATTTGAGAAGCACCTTACCGTCAGCAACGAGAGGCACAACGTTCTTGAGCTCGCTGCAATTTGCTGGCAATATTTTGATTAATGCACGACCTCTGCAAGATGTACAGGAGCAACATTGGACATATACCTTCACAAGAATCCGTTGAAGCAAGCTCCAGCACTGACCGTTAACATGTTGTGTGTCTTGGAGCTGGCATCTTTTTGTGAGAAAGACAAGTTTCTGCGTGCGTTCGCTGGTTTCATTCTCTTTTGCGTGTATGGTCGCCTAAGAGTGTCCGATCTCAACAGGCTGGTACACTGCTCATTGTTGGGAAACTATGTGGAAGGGTCGCTGATGAAAGTGAAGACTGCTAGGTCTAAGGAAAAGCAGTGCACGTTTCTGCCGGTGGTAGCGCCTGCCATGGGCGTCTTGGGAACAAGATGGTTTCAAGCTTTTGCGCTAAACAGAGCCACATTGGAGTTGGACAACATTCCCTCGCTGGAGTCGCGTGCATCAAATGAGAGCTTTGGCGTATTGCCATCAGAGTCCACCATTCATTTGGACTGTTACTCCAAGATCGATAGCGCAGAAGTGGCGGAGGGCCTGCAGAGGATTCTTGGTAAAGTCTTCAGTCGTGAGGAGCTGTGCGACTACAAGCCACAGTTTGAAATCCACATTGCCAAGTGGCTACAGCAGAATCAGCTTAGAGCAAGTGCACCGCGCCGACTTGGAGCTCTTCAAGCATATGATGAGGAGCACCAGGGGTGGCATCAAAGTGCTGAGTGGAATTCAGCCTATGAAGACGGCTTTGCAGCAGGCCATCGTTGCCCCGGAAGTTCGCCTCTGCCTGCAGCCGCTACAATAAGGCAGCATGAGTCTCGTGATGAGGATGCCAACAAGGTGAAGAAGCTGAACGCAGCTTCCAGTGACAACGAAGAACGGCTGAAGCGTCAGATCCAGAACCTGCAGGGACAGATCAAGAATCTCCAAAGTGGAGGTAGTGCTGGCAAGGGACGTGGGAAAAGGAAAGACAAAGAACAAGCTCATTCGTACGCCAGCTCCTCTCATTGGAATGAGTCCGACTACCGAAGCCGGCGAACCAATGATTTCAATTTGAGCGGATGTTCCAAGGCGAAGCCTGGTGACAAGTGTCCGAAAGGATACCACACCTGCATGAGGCCTGGGTGCAATGAGGCTCACAGACAGAAACAGCATCCTGGAAAGTGACAGCATGGCAACCCGCCCGTGGCGGCAGCTGAGCAGGCAAAAAGCCTGAGAGAGTTTTCATACACTGGTGCGCCCAGCTCATCAACTATTTGCATAGAGTTGCGCGCTGGCTGCGCCAGACTATCCCGCTGTTTGAAGAACAAAGGGTTCTGCACTATTTCCATTGACCATTCGAAGAATCGTCATCAAGCTCAACACCCCACGATTAACCTAGATTTGGCGAGTGGCGACTGCTTCGTGCAATTGCTAAGCCTGTTGGAGAGCCAAGGCACGGTGGTTTATATACACGCAGCTCCCCCATGTGGAACTTGCAGTCGAGCTCGAAATCGCAGGATCGCTTTCCATCTACGCACTCAAGGCGCGCCAGACCCTAAGCCACTTAGGTCCGAACGTTGGCCTCAGGGCCTACCGGAGTTGCTTGGACTTGATGCCAAGCGTGTGGCTACTGCCAATGCAATTTACCAGAACGTGTGTAAGATTGTCAAGCATTTTGCTTCCTCTGCACTCATCACCATAGAAAACCCTAGCCGCTCCTATATGTGGCTTACGTCTTGGTTCCAGTCTCTTATTGCCGAGTGCAATCTAACCCCTGTTCATTTGCAGCAGTGCACGCACGGGGGCCAGAAATGGTCATGCTTCTATGTAGCTGTTCCAAGAGCTAGCCTTGACCTGTGACAGGAGCCACGACCACCTGCCATCGGGGGTCGCCCAGGAAGAGGACAAGTGGGTTTTCAGTACTGCGCAAGAGGCGGAATATACGGACTCTTGCGCCAGCGCATTTCTAGCATTGTTGCCACGGTTTGTCAGCAGCAATCTAAACCCAGACAACCGAACTTCCAGGCCAAAATTCGGGCCGCTGAAGCCGGTCGCCAACCACGCGGCAATTTGATGCCCCAAATCATTCCCGAATTTTTGCCGGTCCTGACCGTGCCAACCAGTGAAGAAGTGTCTCCCGGTAAAACCTCGTCATGGTTTGCGCATAGATACAATGTTCCCATCAATAGTAAGATCTTGCCACCCGAAAGGGGGAATGCCAAGGCTAGATCCGATGCTGATGAAAGCAATGTTGATGCAGAAAATGTGAAACTGAAACAACTCAAATCAGCGTCGTCAACCACTAAGGTCTTCACTGTCAAATCGACAGATCCCCAACTTAAAGTCGGAGTTTGGCGATCACCAACACAGTTTTTGAATGAAGCCTTGAAAGTCGAACACCCATTTGATGGTAATTCGACGGTGTCTGATGGAGCGAAAAGAGCCATGTTTGACATCCTAACCCACAGACGAGAAGCAATTAATTGCTCGGAAGAGGGAACTAGTTTTTCAACATTATGAGCAAAATAGGATGTCTCTTGAGGGTAAAGAGGACCGGATACACCAGGCTTTAGACCATGATTGTTCTGATTTGTTGAGAGACAAGCAGTTTCTCCTCTTCAAAGTCATGGCCGCAGACGCAGGAGTGGATGATGAGCACTTGGTTGATACCCTGGTCAATGGGGTTAAATTGACTGGGTCGGGCGAGCCCACAGGCCAACTCGACCATGAGGAAAACACGGCTGCCCTAAATGACGTCCAACTCATGAGGAGCACAAGGTGGAGCCGGAAATCGATCATGTCTAAAAGTCCATAGTGCTGACAACGCCCGTGAGACTATTTGGGAAGGCGCACTAGAAGAAGCGGGCAGGGGCTGGCTTGAGGGCCCGTACTCGGAGGAAGAGTCGCTCGCATCTTGGGACCTCGTTTTGTAGTGTCCAGACGTTTTGGTTTGGAGCAAACTGACAAAATCCGTGCCATCGATGACACGTCGGAATCTTTGGTAAACTCTGCTTTTGCCCCCTCCTATAGGCTAGACCTGAGTGGTATTGACGGAGTTGCAGTTTTGGCTAGGACTTTTCTAGATGCGGTAAGGATTGACGGACAGGTAGAATTGCTCTTGAGTGATGGTTCCCGGTTGAACGGTCATTTGCATGCGTCTTGGAGCCGACAGGAGGCCAACCAGTTAAGTGGACGGACCTTAGACCTTGATGCTGCGTACAAACAGTTGTTGGTTGCAAAGTCGTCGCGTTGGACGGCTGTCCTGGCAGTGGAGGACTTGCAAGGGGCTCGACGCTTATTCATATTTCTAAGGTACTACCGTTCGGAGCCACTGCGTCCGTGTTTGCCTTCAATCGGATCGCAAGAGCAATACATGCAATAGGAGAGCGATTGTTTGGTTTGGTTTGGTCCAACTATTTTGATGATTACCCGCAGCTTGATTTGGCGGCCTCTCAGAACGATTCGCAAGTGACGGCAGAACGACTGCTTGACCTGTTGGGTTGGAAGTTATCACAGAAGGAAACCAAGCGCAGACCCTTTGACTTCACCTTCGATGCGCTGGGAGTTACGTTTGATTTCACCCGGTGTAAATTCGGTGAAGTTGTTGTTCGTAACAAGGCCTCCAGAGTGCTACAAGTGTCCGCTGAGATTGAATCGATCCTTCAGAAAGGGTCGTTTCCAACCAAAGTAGCTTCCGCCTTGAGAGGAAAGTTGCAATTTGCTGAGGCACACACGTTCGGTCGAATCCTGTCTTCAAGCCTGCGAGCCTTTCAGAACAGAGCCACAGGTAAAGATGCCGGGGAGAGCGCCAATGCTGCACTAAGGCTAGAGCTTGAATGGGCTAACGACTTCACGCAAAGCAACCGGCCGCGAACACTAAGGTGCGATATGGACAGTTCCCGTTTAGTGATTTTCACGGATGCATCGCTAGAAGGGTCCGACGCTTGTGGGGGAATTGGCATGGTTGCTGTTCATGTTGTGGGTGGTGTTGCCCGTGGAAAATTTTTCTTTTCAGATGTCTTTCCACCCAGCCTCTTGTCAAAGTGGCAGTCACGACCAAAGAAAATCATCGCCTCCCAAGATTCGTGTTTTTCTGTACGTCGACAACGAAGCCGCCAGAGCTTCATTGATTCGCATGTTCAGCTCCATCCTCTTGCACAACGCTCTCCTTAAGGAGTTAAACAAAGTTGCACTTGCTCGCAGTTTGTTCTTATGGTCGGCCCGAGTGCCCTCGGCTTCAAATCCGGCTGATGCACCATCTAGGGCGGTGATAGAGGAATTAATTAAGGCAGGCGCACGCCAACTGTGTGCACAGTGGTCCCAAGTAGATGTGGATGTCTGAAAGGGGAAACAAAGATATTTGGTGGCGTGAGTTCTTCATGCAGTGCTCTTAAGTGGGGTTAGCCAAGGCCCAGCATGAATGTCCTAAAATTGATGTCGCTGGCTTGGTTCCATGGACCTGCACGTCCACAGGAATT